TCTGTCCCCTTTCTGTGCTTAGCCACAGTCCCCTCACCCAGCCCCTAGTGCCCACCATTCTCCTCACTGTTCCCAAGGATTCAGCTGCTGTAGAAACACTGGGCAAGCAGAATCACTCAGTATTTGCCTTTGTAGCTGGCTTGTTTCACTTGGCATAAGATCCCCAGGGGTCGTCCATAGGCCAATTGTGTCTCAACGGTCTTCCTTTCCAAGGCTGAATAATGTTCCTCCATGTGTGTGCCATGTTGCGTTGGTCCACCCATGTGATGGTCACTCAGGTTGTTTCTGCCTTTTGGGAGGGGTTTAAGGCAGGGTCTCACTACGTAGCCCAGTCCAGCCTCAAACTTGCAGAGATCTTCCTGCCTCACCCTCCTGAGTGCTGGGAGGACAGGCATGTGCCACCACGCCTGGCTGTTTCTGACTTTTGGCTCTTGCAAATGACTCTTCTGTGAACACAGGTGTCCAAATATGTCTTAAAGTCCCGGGAGTGCAGCCCTAGAAGTGCAATTGCTGGATCATACCACAATTCCAGGTTTGTTTTTTTTATTTTATTTTTTTGTACCGGGGGTCAAACTCAGGACCTTGCACTTGCGAGGCAGGAAGCAGAACCACTGAGCTAAATTCCCAGCCCTCCAGTTTTAATATTTGAAGAAAAACTGTATTATTTTCCTTAGAATTGGGAATTTTTAAAAAATTGCCAACATAAACCTCTGGGTTTGGGGTTTCTATCGACATGAAAGGTTTGACATCACTTGTCTTATGTGTACACAGAACCAGACTCCTCCAGCCCTCAGAGACAGTGGCCCAGCCAGGGCCAGCTCCTAGGGTCCCCTTGCACACTTCCTGAGTCTGATGACCCCAGGGCCATCCTGAGAGCAAGGGTGTAGGATGCTTGGTCTTGCCCACCCACAGTGCATTTTCAGCTACCCATGGTGGCCACACCTATAATCTCAGCACACTCAGAGGCTGAGGCAGGAGGGTTGCAAGCTTGACCCTAGTCTGGGCAACTTAGTGATTTAGTGAGACTTTGTCTAAAAAAAAAAAAAAAAACAACAAAAACAAACAAAACAAACTAGAGATAGTTTAGAAAGGGCCAAGAGTATAACTCAGTGTGAAAGCTCTGGTTCCATCCCCACTATCTGCTCACTGTTGCCCTGTCTAATGGACTCAAGTGGGTCACCAAACCTCTTTGGGCCTCTATTTCTCCATCTGCAAAGTAAGGGAATTCATCCCTCTCAGGGATGTGTGAGAATGAACCCGAGTGACCTATGTGGCTGTGCAGACCACCATGGGCACTGGAGAAAGTACCTCACGAAGTCTGTGAGCTCAGTGGAAACTCCTACTTTCCCACAAGTTCAAGAGTTCTCATTGCTTTAATCATTCTGGTTTTTTTGGTACCGGGGATTGAACTCGGGTCCTTGTGCTTGCAAGACAGGCCACTGAACCGCTGAGCTAAATCCCCAGCCCTTTAATCATTCTTTATAGTCCCACTCTGGTTCCTTTTATGTTCCCTAGTTTGTCACTTTTGCCCTTGATGTGTAAGTCTAGAAATGAACACATGCTCTTGGTGTGACCTGGCCAGTGTAAAGTAGGATCTATTACTACCCCTCCACTCCAGACTCTATACCTCCATTAATGGAACCCAAATAGGTAATGGATTTTGTCTTGTGCCCTTATGTTATGCATTAGATATAAAATGTCCCCCCAAAGTCTCATGTGGTTAGAGGTAGGGCTTGTGAAAGGTGATTGGATGAAGTGTACTGGTCAGGGTTCTCTAGAAGAACAGAATCAATAGAAAATATATGTATAATTATGCAAAGGAATTTATTAGGTAGCTTACGGGATCAGAAGTAGGACAATCCACAATGGCCATCTGCACACTGGAGAATATCAGCTGCTCAGGACAAGAAGCTGGCAACTGTAGAACACTTATTCTTGTCAAGGATGCAGCACTTGTCCAAGGTTAAAGGCCTGGAAGCTCCCAGGAGGATCTCAGGTGTGAGCCTGCATTGGAGGTTGGAGAAACTGGACTCTGAGGTCCATCGGCAACAGCAGCAGAAGGCACACTGCTCAAGCAGACTGGAGCTCTTCACAGTGCAAATTTCCTCCTTCGTTTTTATTTCATGTAAGCTACAAGACTATTGGTTGGTGCCACCCATAGCTTGGATGGGTCTTCCCCCTCAGTTTGCTGGCCTGTGTGTCAATCATCTCTGGACACACCCACAGACATAACCAGAACCATACTTTTTATTACTTTTTTATATTTTGAGACAGATTCTCACTATGTAGTTCATATGTAGATTCTCACTATGCAGTCCAGGCTGGCCTTGAACTCACAACTATCCTCCTGACTCAACCTCTCAAGTGCCGGGATTACAGGCATGGGATACCACAACTGGCTTCAGAATCATACTAATCAGCTAGGCATTGCTTACTGTGGTCAAGTCAGAATGAACAACCCCAGGAAGACTGTAATCTCATCAAGAGACTGATCCATTGGTGAGTCCATATCTAAATAGGCTAATAGGATGTGAGCCCAGCTGGAGGAAGTAGGTCACTTGACTTTGAAAGGTTTATGTTTTCTCTGGCTCATTCTCTATCTCTGCCTCCAGGCTGCCATGAGGTGAGTAGCTTTCCTCCACTGACTTTCCAACCATGCTATTCCTGCCTTGCAGCCAGCTGGTCATGGACTGACCCTTCTGAAACTGTGAGCCCAAATAAACTTTTCCTCCTTTAAAATTGTGTATGTCAGGTATTTTGTCCCAGAAACCAAAAGCTTGCTCACACACATATCCCAATCCTTTGGTGCTTGCTGAACTGAGACTAATAACATCCCAGATCTTTTTCATGAAAATATTCACAAATCTCTTTCTCCTATCCCACCCCTGTGCGAGTGAAGGCTTGGAACTAAAGGGACTAAGCCATTATCTCTTCTTACACTTTGTCCATTAGGTCAAGTGCCCATCCTAACTGATGGTTCAAAGGAGACCCCAACTGTATTTGCATGTTCAAGGAACCTAAAGGAATGTGTAGCTGACTCTTTAGAACTGGACAGAGAATGTTTATTTGCATCTTGATGGATTCCCAGGCAATAGGACTGCAAAAAGAGGTTCACTGTGGGGACACAGCATGTGGTCCCAGCGTCAGGGCAGTGGCCTGTCTTTCACAGTTCTGTAGGACCTGAGAGCTCCCAGCATGGCAGAGGACTTGGAGGAAGCCAGGAGCCCAGAGAGATCACAATTGTAGGCCCTGGCAATGGCGGCAGCCCTGGCGCTTCCTGCTGCTCAGGGTGTGCAGGGCTACCCGCTGCCCACCTCCAGCCTGGCAGCAGGCTCTCGATGCTGTGCTGCTAGATGGGACCCCTGCCCAGCCGCTGCCAATGGTTATAACACATGGAGGGAAAAGAGCGCTCTTTATTGCTTGGCTCAGCCTCCCACATGTCACCCAAATGTCACTGTCCTTGTGGCCTCAGGGAGGTTTGTGGTCAAACCAGGGCTGGTACAGCTGCCATCCAGCAGAGGCCTCATTCTGTTTTCCGGAACCCTGAAAGGCAAAGTGCAGGTTGGCTGGGTTGAAGGCAGCCAGGGTGCCACCACACCCCAGATGCCCAGACCACACAGACCGGGCAGAGCAGGCTCATTCCTGCAGCCCCTGTGGGTCTCCATAACCCACGGCCACAGTGATGCACGTCTTCTTCATTAATTAAGAGACTGATGCTTCCCCAGTGCAGAGCCACAGCCCCCTAGCTTCTCTGGTCTGAGGCATAAGGGTGAACACAGAGCTGTTGCTCAGCAAGGAGAAGCTACTTATTTTTTTCTTTCTTTCTTTTTTTTTTTCCAGTACTGAGACTCAAACTGCATGCTGAGCAAGTGATCTACTACTCAGCCACATCTACAAACTTGTTCTCGTTCTATTTTGAGACAATGTCTCACTAAGGTACCCAGCCTGGTCTCAAACTTGTGATCCCCTGCCCTAGAGTAGCTGGAATCTCAGGTATGTGCAGTGCACCCAGCTGAAAGAGAATCTACTCCAGCCCAGGCCAGCCACCTAGCTGTGTAACCCAGGCAAGTCACTGCAGCTCTCTGAGCTTTGGTGTTCTCACCAGGGAAACAGGATTGCTAAACCTGAACCGTCAGGCAGACACTGCCCTGAAGGAGATCATGCTGGGGAGGGGAGCATCCCATGAAGTACTGAGCCACAAGTCCCTCTCTTTCCACAGTGTTTTGAATGCAAAGCCACCCACTTGTCCCACCCACAGTTGGCTGGCAAATACTCTGTGCACTGGGAATTACTACACCCGTCATTCAGGGACAAAACTGAGGAGGCTCAGAGAGACTATGAGAGGGCCGAGTTCCCACCCAGTGCTACAAAAACAAAACAAAACAACAAAGGCTTGCACAGGCCCTTCCACAGTCACATAACTCACAAAGCTCATAAGCTAGCAGATGTAGAATCCAAACCCAACCAAACCCCTGCCTGCCTCGAACATCTTTCCTACATGTTCAACCTCTTTCAAAACAGAAGCTGGAAGCCAGGCATGGTGGTGGTGCATACCTGTCATCCCAGCACTTTGGAGGCCGAGGCAGGAGACTGCCATGAGTTCAAGGCCAGCCTGGATCGCATAGTGAGACCCTGCCTCAAAAAAACTAAAACAGAAGCTGGACTGGGGGGACCACACGCATACCTATAATCCCAGCACTCAAGAGGCTGAGGCAAGAGAATTGCCACTAGTTCAAGGCCAGCCTAGGCTACACAGCGACATCTCACCCCAAAAACAACATATTAAAAACAACGTACAAGGCCCTTCACCACAAGAAATTTAAAAAAATTGTTTAACCCCCCGCCAAAACATACTGAGACCGTCTCAACCCCCACCCCCAATCCCTGCTAGGCAGCGCGCGCACAAGAAGATCGTGAACATGACCGTTACCCAGTTGCCTGAACTTCTGGAAGAGCGGGAGGAAGCCTCGCAGCACACTGTGGATGCGGTACACTGTGCGGGGACAAAGGGGCCCGAGTCAGGCTGTGTCCCCTCCACCCGCGGCTACCCCAGGCAAGGGCCCAGCCCATATAACACAGCTCCGCGGTGGGGCTCCAGGCTGGGCTCAGGTTACGACTCCGAAAACAGCAGAGGCCCAGGCCCAGCGGACTCAGCTGCGGCTCTACTGGCCCTTTCCGGGCACCTGCCAGGTCCTGTGCTGTTCACGTTATACTGTCGCCGCTGAATGTTTAGGGAACGACCCATTTCTTCCCAAGAGGTTCTGCCAGTGACCTCACCCTGAACTTGCCAGTGGTCAGGAAGAAAACAAGGGCACAGGAAATGTAAAACAAGGGCCGCGCGGCCGGCCGAGACTCACCTAACCCGAAGTAGATGCCCACAGTCTCCAGCGAGGCGAAGGTGAGCAGGCCCACGCCCAGGGACATGAACCAATCTGCCGGCGCGAGGGAGGGATCAGCCTGCGGCCGGAGCCCCGCCCCGCCCTCGCCCCTCGCCCCCTCCCCTCTCCCCGCTCCCGCTCACCTGCGTAGTAGTGGTAGCTCACCAGCAGGGCCCCGATGCCGAAGCACAGCAGCACGAAGTGGAAGAACTCGTCTGCCAAGGCGGAGGCGGCAGCGTTACTGTTCGCCACTTCTCTTCCTGTCTCTCACGTGTACTCTGTGTGTGCGTGGGGGCTGTACCTCAAGGCCTCTCTCACGCTGGCCAAGCGCTCTACCCCTCGGCTGCACCCCAGAGCTCTCTTGTTTCGTGTTGTTTTGAGACTAAGTCTTGCTATGTTGCCAAGCCGGCTTCAAAATCCTGGGCTCAGTGGATGCTCCTGCCTCAGTCCCCGCTAGCTGGGACTGTGGGCAGGCAGCTCTCTTGTTCTTCAGTGACAAAGCCTCTGTTCAAATGGAAAACATTCGGAGAACTGCTCCTGCTCCAGACCAGCCAAATCAAAACACGTCATCCCAGCACTCTGGAGGCCGAGGCAGGAGGTTCACCACGAGTTGGAGGCCAGCTTGGGCTACACAGTGAATTCAAGGCCTTCCTGGACTACATGGCGAGACCTTGTCTCAAACAACTAAATAAATAAACAAACTAGCCCCAAGACCACTCCTTTCTGGCCCTATCTCCCCGTGTTATTTTTATTGCACACATTGCTGTCCAACTTATATCGTCTTCCTGTGCTCTCATCTCCCCTGGCCCTTCACTGGTCTGGTCAGCTCTGGAGGACAGGAGCTTAGTCAGGCTTGTCCAGCATCCTCCAATGTCCTCCAGGTCTGAGGAAGCTCTGGCAGGCATAGGTGTTTGCATTTTGTTTATAGAATGAATGTTAAAACAATGGTAAGAAATGCAAGTTGGCCAGGAGAAAATCCCTAGGGTCCCAGAGGTGTGGGGTGCTGAGAGGCCAGGCCTATGCCCCACACAGGGCCCCATGGCGCCTATGACAGAGCAGAAGCCCTTGCACTTCGCCAGGCACATGGGGGCCACCAGGGAGGGTGCACAACTCTCCTGCTTTCTCCAGGCCTTGACAAGGGAGTTCCAGAGACTTTGTGTATTTACTTGGTGGTACTGGGGATTGAGCCCAGGGCCCTCACACTGAGCTACATCCCCAGCCTTGTTTAGTTTTTATTTTGAGACAGCATCTTGCTAAGTCTCTGAGCTGCCCAAACTGGGCTTGAACTTTCAGTCCTCCTGCCTCAGCCTCCCAGAGTGCTGAGATTTCAGGCATGAGCCACCATACCTGGAACAAAGATTTTTCAAAGACAAAAAAGGGTTGGGGATGCAGCTTAATGGAAGAGCACTTGCCTAGTGTGCAGGAGCACGCACAGGGACAAAACCAGCAGAAACAGAGTCCACAAAAAAAAAAAAAAAAAAAAAAAAAAAACGCAGAGAGGAAAAAACAAGGACAACCCGGAGAAAGGCAGAGGTGCAAGAGGTGCAAATAGGTGCTGAGGCTGCAGGGACACCCAGCAGAGCTACCCCTGTGCTGTGAGGACTCCAACCACTTCCTACCTTTCTGAGCCTCAGTGCCCTTACATAGGGCCTCAAGGACAACTGGGGCCTGAACAGCACAGTGCTCTGCAAGGGACAGGTGTCCCCCAACCAAGCTGTGGTCTTGGCTGGGGTGCATCTCTGTGGTGGGCACTCATCTGGCGTGCAGGAGGCCCTGGACCCATCCCAGCACCTCACACACAAACCACGTCTAAGGCCATCACGGTCACCTCCCCTCTCTCCCCACCATGGTCTCCCATCCCGAGCCCTTCAACCCAGAGCCTGGTGTCCCAATCCCCTCGAGACTCCCTTGCCCTTCCCAGGTCCAGCCCCTATCCTGGCCACAGGGCCCAGGAGGCACTTTTTACTCCAGTGACTTCACACAGTGCAGAAAGAGCCCCGGACCAGGGTTGGAGGCCAGGCTGTGCCTGCTGCTCCATAGCAATGAGGCTGTCCTGCCACCTCTAGCCTCAGTTTCCACATCTGAAAGTGGACATCATCACCCCACCTCCCCACAGGTTCAGAGAAGAGCAGTCATGATGACTGTTTTAGGCCGCTGCTGCCTAGAACCCCAGCAGTGTGTACAGCCAGATGGAGTGGCTCTGGACCCCAGTTTCTTACCATCCTTCTTTATATTCAATCTGCTTAACTGTGTGTCTTCTGCATCTCCTTGGGAACAAGTGAGAGACAGCATTTCATTTGACACAGACACAGGCAACACAGAAACAAAGAAAGAAATCTTCCAGGTGCAGTGGTCCCCGCTTGTAATCCCAACACTCAGGAAGCTGAGGCAAGAGGATTACTGTGAGTGAGCCCTGTTTGGGCTGCACAGTGAGTTCAAGGCCAGCTTGTCTAAATAAAAACAAAAACAAAACCCAGAAAAACAAAAACAAGACAGCAGGTGAGAGTTTCTTGTCCCTGCCGCTCTGAGGCCTGAGCTTGTGGAGGCTTTCGAGATTAGGATGCTTGCTGCATAGCCGCTCTCCTTGGAGCCTGCTGAGCCTGCCCTATCCTGTCCCATCTCGGTGATACTGGCCGGCTGGGCATCCCTGCTGGGATGGACCCACCCTCTCAGGCCCTGTGGTCCCCTCCACCCCCAGGACCCAGGTGCTCCCTGCTCTCCCCAGCCACCTCTACCTTCTGTGGAGTCCACACCTCTCTGTCGGAGTCCTGGAAACAGAAATTCACTGTCAGTGCCCAGTCAGTGTGGGGTCCTGGACCATCCCTCTGCCCTGGTGGAGGCCAAAGGTGACCTAGGTAAATGTCCCCAGGGACAATCTGCTGTGGCTACTGGCATCCCCTACCCTCCCGCTGCCCACCTCCTGCTGCAGCCTGGCCTGTTTGTCTGCGTTCTGGGAGTTCACCATCACAGTAGAACCTCTGCCAGGGCTGGCTGGTGGGTCACTGGTACCAATGACTCCTGGCCCCTGCCTGGTCACTTACCTGCTTCCCCAGATGGTTCCACCTCTCCCAGGCCATCTGCAGAGGAGGAAACCAGCAGTCACAAAGGCACACCCTCACAGGGCGGGCAGGAGGCACGGGATGGACACGGGCCCTGGCCAGGTGGGGATGGGAGCAGGCAGGGGCTCCTGCTTCATCTAAAAGGACTTCCATCACCTACCAGCTACCCAAAGCTGCTACAGGGTCATCTGCTGAGTCCGACAGATCTTCCACTTTCCAGAAGAGGCCAGATTTACCATAAACTTTGCATTTTATTTATTTATTTATTTATTTTTGGTTTGGGGTTTTTTGAAACAGGCTTGCTATGTGGTTCAGGCTGGCCTTGAACTCACTTTGTATATAGCCCAGGTTGGCCTCACATTTGTGGCAGTCCTCCTGTCTCAGCCTCCTGAGTACTAGGATGACAGGTGTGTCTCACACACTGGGTTTAAATGTCCCCATTTTAAAGAAAGTTGGTGGCCCTGCATGGTAGCACAACTCCTGTAATCCCAGCACTCAGGAGGCTGAGGCAGGAGGATTGCAGTGAGTTCGAGACCAGCCTGGGCTACATAGTGAGTTCCACGTCAGTCTCAACTACATAGACCCTGTCTCAAAACAACAACAACAAAAATATTAAAGTTAAGCAACCCTTACATAGTTACTCTGTACATCTACCAGGAGTTGGTTCTAGGACCTCCAGATACCTAAATGTATGGATACTTGAGCCCTTACATAGTGAGTGCACATCTTCTGGATGCCTTAAAACCAATCCCAGAAGATGTTATAATATGTAATACAAGTCTGCATATGTTCAGAATCTTTTTTTTTTTCTGTATTGGAAATTGAACCCAGGGTTTTTATGTTGAGCTATATCCTCACACCCACACACACACTTGTTGTTAATTTGGGGACAGAGTCTTGCTGAGTTGCTAAACTGCTTAGCGGGGCTGGAATACCTGCAATCCTCCTGCTTCAGCTTCCCAGTACACAGAGTGCTAGGATGACAGATGTGTGCCACCATAACTGGCCTTTATTTTTCTTTTTTCTTTTTTTAGTTTTTAATCCTAGGTTGGTGGAACCCTTGAGTGCAGAGCCCAAGGATGTCAAAGACCTCCTGCACCCTACTCATCAAAGACATTGCTTTGGTTGGGTGGGACATTGTTTTGTGTGCTTCTGTGTAGGGAAAACCAGGGCCAACAATGGGAAGATGCACCCTGATTTTGAAGGTGTTCAGACTGAAAAAGTGTGAGCTGTAGAATTGATTAAATATATTAGCAACTTTCTTTTTTCTCCTGATGGTTCTGGGTGTTGAAACCAGAACCTCAAGGATGCTAGGTCAAGCCCTACCCTTGAGCTACAGCCCAAACAATGAGAACTGAAAACCAGCAGCGACAACACCTGTGGCCTGTAGCAGAAGGAAGCTTCAGTGCACTCGCAGGCCTCCTGTGCCCCCTACCCCACCCCGAGCTCCCGCAGCCATGCGAAGGCTGGGACATCACGCTGTGGTCCAGCCCACGGGTCACACAGCCTCTCTCCAGACGCCCTGGTGCTGGTCCAGTTCCCAGGGGCCTTTCTCCCAACAGGGCCGTCGGCTCTGGTGTAGTTTGTCCTTCCCGGCAGGCCCAGGTCACAAGCACCACAAGAGGGCACTCAGTACATGACAGGGAGTCGTCCCCGGGCCGCTGCCAAATAGGGACTCCGCCTGCAAAGGGACCAGGGGCCCTCAGAGAGAGCGTAGAGAAGGCAGGGAATGAAGAGACCTTCGGATTTCATGGGGCAGAATGCAAAATTCACAGACAGGCGACGTGCCAGCAGTCTGGGAGGCCAAGGCAGGAGGATTGCAAATTTTAGCCCAGCCTGGGCAACTTAGTGAGTCAGGGAGGCTCTGTCTCAAATAACAAATAAATAAACAAAGGGCTGGGGATGCAGAAGTGTGTGAAGGCGCTGGGTTCAATACCCAGTACTGAAAAAACCAAAACCGAGTAGAGGACTGTTTCTACATTTTCTACAGTGAATATAAATTACTTTTGTGAAAAAAGTATTTTAAAATACACATAAACATAACAGCTTCTCTTATTTTACATCCAGTGAATCCTTTCTTAAACTATTTGAGAAATGGAACACATTTCCTTTGTTTTCGGGTGTGGTGCTGGGACGGCACCTGGGATGCCTGCAGCCCACCCCAGGCCATGGGAACCAGATAACACTTTCTGCAGAAAAGAGCAGCCCCTTCAGCTAAGCAAATGAGAGTGTAAAGATTGTTCACAGTGCTGACCCCTGACGCAGCCTCAAGTCACACCGTGAGGCCAAGCGTGTTCTTCTTTTTTCTCTGAGAGATACCTAAGTGTTTCCTGCTGGTTTTCTTGCGCCAGGCTCCTGCCAAACTGGTTTATTCCCTCACAGGGCTCCCAGCCTCGGTACAGATTGTCTATACCTCCTCCCTGCAGTGGCTGGGAGCCCAAGGAGAGTCCGGCCCTGACATTCTCCAATTGCTCGGGATCCCAAGCCAGGGCCCTGACCACACCCATTTTGCTGACTAGGTGCAGAGGTCAAAAAAGTGGGTTACCCTCCCAGGTCACCCCACGAGCTGAAGTTATAGCTGAAACAAGGAGGAGGCCCTTCAGCCATCACCATCTGCCACTGTTCTGCCACTCCCCACTTCTACATCTGCTCGTCTCTGCCCCCAGCCCCACAGCCTTACAACTTCCTGAGCCACCAGACGACCCATTACCTCTGTAGAGCTGGAGCGCATCCTTCGAAATGCCAGGTGCCTCGTGCTCAGCCTCAGCCCCTGGAGGAGGCAAACCCTCAGGTGAATTCCCCAGCGCCATGTGCTCTCCACTCTGTGCCCAGCTCCCTGGGGCTAAGCCGAGGAGAAACACAGGCCTGTGTCTTCAGGGGTACGGCGACCTGACCAGTGCCTTCCCTTTCACTGGACTGATCTCTAGCACCAGAGGAAGGAAGGAAAAAAGTTACTTTCCTAAACTCACATAACCAGTAAATAGTAACTCTAATGGGTTTATTCTAAAACCTGCATTTCTAATCTTTGTCTTTTTTTGGTACCAGGGATCGAACTCAGGTCCTTGCACTTGGCAGGCAGTGGAACCACTGAACTAAATCCTCAGCCTCTCTTCTTTCCTTCCTTCCTTCCTCTTTCTTTTTTTCTTTCCTTCCTTCTTTCTCGCTTGCTTGCTTGCTTTCATCTTGAGCAGGTGAGCCCTGTGTCAATCCCAGTCTTCTAGGCAGCATCTAGGAAACTTTTCCTGTGTGCCAGGCTCTGGGCTAGGCATTAATTCAGTTCTTTCTCCTGTGCTCTTTTCCTCCTCAAAAATTAATTTCTTTGCAAAAATTATTTCCTTCTGGTTGCAAAAATAAAGTACGCTAAAAAAGAATTGATCTTTATCCACTAAATGATAGGAACCCCCCCAAAATAAAGTATGCTCGTCATAAATTATTCATAGGACAGTTCAAATTGAGATAGGGAATATAAAAATTCTCAGAATTTCACCATCCAGAGATAACCACTATTAACATTTTGATTTTTTTCTTCCAGTCTTGTTTATAAACACATTAAGTGTGCATTTTTCTGAAGTGTACATGAGATCAAACGAACTCTATGACTTGACATCTTTTTATTTTCTTGTAAGCCTGGGTCTCACTACATAGCCTCAGTGATTTTCCTGCCTCGGCCTCCTTAGTGCTGGAATTACAGGTGTGTGCTACCACTCCAGGCGACATTTTTCTTTTTCCCTTCAGAGGCAGATGAAGGGCAGAGGTGTGGCTGGACAGGTGCCGCACCATTTACCTGTTTTGTTGTTGCTGGGCACAAGGCCCCTTCCTGCCCACTTTAAACATTGCGGCAAGCAACATTCTCACTGAGCTCGGGCGCCCCACTGTGACCCTTGGGACAGCCTCTGCCTACCGCATAGGCAGCCCCCATGGGGGTGTCCTGTGCCCGGGCTCTGTCACCACTGTCCAGGAACTCTGGGGTGCTGGTCCTCATTGCTGCTGTCTGCCAGGACAAATACAAGCTGAGGGCTTCCACTGGCCGCTGGAGAAAGGTGCTGTGCTCAGGGTCTGGGAACCTGCCTCTAACCTTCCGTGTCACTTACTGGTTCTGTTGGCCCCTGATCCAACGTGTGCTTCTTTTGCTGCCATGCCCATGACCCAGAGTGTCCATGAGGATCAGACCAGGGCCCCTGAGGCCAGATGATGGGGACAGGGATAGTTTCTGTCCCCAAAGTGCAGGCAGTGTCCTCTCTGTACCCATGTCCTGTGTTCTGGGTGCTGGCCGTGTCTCCCACACCTCCTGCAGACAGCCCTCCCGTCTCCCTACTGAGGTTACGGCACTGTCACATCTCCTGCTGCCCCTGCCCTTAGCTCTGTCTGTGCGGAACCCAGGAAAACCCAGGCCCAGTGGTCCTGTAATGCCGATATCTGGAACCCTGAACTCCTGAGGTCATGGCTGGGTTGCCTCCTTCTTAAAGACAGCCAGCCTGGAGCAGGCACTCAAAGGATGCAGTTCACTTGCATTCAGTGACTGCCATTGTTTGGGAGAATGCAGGCCCAGAGTGTTTGGCTCCAGGACCGGAGAGCTCCCTTTCTCCCAGGGCTCAAAGATGATTGCAGCGGAGCTCAGGGTCCCTGAGCAGTCTGGGGACCTCTGGCCGACCATGGCTACCCCAAAGAATTCCAGGAAACCAATTCAACTTCACTTAAAGACCAGTGCATCCACGGTCTCAAGTGGACACAGAGGAAGAGGTATCGCTAGCACAAGAGGTACTGTATTACACCCTCACCTTATAGCAGTGGGGATTTGTTAGGGGACTAGTTCTAAAATGTGGCACAGCGAGCAAAAGAGGCTCCCGTCCCTTAGAGAAAACAGTGCACTCTCTGCACAGAACCTGCACACATCACCCCCCATACTTAAGTCGTTTCTAGATTAATCACAGTATGAATTTGTTTTTGTTGTTGTTTTTATTTTTTTGAGAAAGAGTTTCACTATATAGTGCAGGCTGTCCTTGAACTTACTATGTAGCCCAGGCTGGCCTTGAATTTGCAGCCACCCTCCTGCCTCGGCCTCCCAAGTGCTGGGATTACAAGTGTACAACACCAAGCCCAGTTGCTCCAGGAAACAAAATCTTAAACCTGAACCGATGACACAGAACAGGGCAGGTGCTGGGGTGGAGAGGAAGAGTCTGAGCCCTAAGTGCCTCAGGGAATCTCGCTGAGGGCTCTTGTAGCAGGCCCCTCTCCTGCCTCAGAGTCCTCACTGGCACAGTGGCACTGGGAGTGGCACCTTCCTCAAGGGGGACCTGTCACAAGTCATTGAGTCAATGCATGTCAGGGGCAGGGATGGTAACTGGCATATAGTAAGCACTCAGTAAATGCTACCCTGTTGCTGCTGCTATAGATTTAGCCTTGTATTTCAAATTGGAAAAGTGAAAGTGAGACAAGACTGTTATTTCATAGAGGATAATGTGGTAATGTGTAAACAAGACCCCGCTGGAGATGCTATTTATCCTTCTGATCCTCCAGAATTGCTGCGAAGGATCCGTGTTGAGGTAGTGATTTATACCAAGCAAAGCACAACAAAACCACACATGCACACAGTAAAACTTTGCTCAGAGTTGCTATGAACGTAATAAACCCAGGAAGTGTAGAGGGGCTTAACAATGAGTTATTTTTAGAGTTTTTGCCAGTGTTAGGTGCTGAGACTTTGTATACATATAAAGATTTTTCTTAGCCAAGAACAGTGGTGCTTACCTGCAATCCCAGAACTCTGGGAGATTGAGCCAGGAGGATGGCAAATTTGAGCCCAGCTCAGCACTTTAGTGACTTATTGAGACCTTGTCTCAAAATAAAAAATAAAGAAAAGGGCTGGGGATGCAGCTCAGTGAGAAGGCCCTGAGTTCTATTCCCAGAGTGGGGTAAAAAGAAAGAGAAAAAAAAAGACTTTTCGGTGCTGAGGACGGAACAGGGCCCTGAGCATGCTAGACAAGTGTTCTACCATCGAGCTGCACCCCCGCCCCTCCATTTATAAAGAATTTAGCCCTGGGCCAGGGATTTAGCTTAGTGGTTCCACCACCTGCCTCACAAACACAAGGTTCCGACTTCAATCCCTAGTTCCAAAAAAAAAAAAAAAAA